GATGTCCTATATCTTGCCTATATGTTTGCTCATAAGTTAGATTTGATGTCTGCAGATGAGGTATGAAACAGGTTAAATTTAAACTGCACAACTGCATCTTTCCTTAAAATGCTTATGATTTTATCCTGCTATGTTTCCGCATGTGATCGCATCCCATTGCACGCGTGTTGTGCGAGTTCATTGCTCTTGAAATGAGTGTGATGGGGAGCCAAAACCAGATACCAGCCTAATCAAGCCTACTCTTGCTCGGTGGTACTTCTCGTTCCCCCATCTCGCTCTAAACATATCTAATAGCCACAAGTTGCTTCCGCTTAACTTCCACAGCCACTTAACTTAACTTATGAACAAACATAAAGGCAAAGCATATGACATCCAACTAGAACATGAGATGCCTAAGTGGACCAAATCGGACTATAAGAAGGAAGTTGATTTGAAGCCCGTGACCTTTCTTGTTTTCGTGGTCGCAGGGCGGTGCGTCGAGGATCTATTCACACAAATCGACAACCACAGCTCCAAGGCACCCCCCCACAGCCTCCGGTGGAGTCAACTTACGAATCACTTCCATTCGCCTCTTCAAACGAAATGGAGGCTACTCCAACATCAATCTATCACGGGATTCCTCGAGAGCCAGTTTTTCTACCTAGAATTCATTTACATTTTAACCATATTTGATATCATTTGATATTCATGTTTAATAAATAAGATAGTGAAGCATGGCAATACACGATACATTTCAAGGTATCATGTGTTTAATAATTATTTTCATTTATTCTAAGGGATAATGCTTGGATAAAATAGTTTCAACATTAGTTATATGAATATATGTGAAGAGTTATGGTATATAAAAAGATCTGTTGGATCATGCAGAAAGTATCAATACTCTATCGTCCCAGGACTGCTTGTGACTATATGGTCTAATGTTGACTTATTTTTCGTATATAAGTAGAGTTCACTTGTCCCTTGGAGAATAGATGGTGATTACGCTTTGAAATTATTCCGAATGCCTTTATATCTCGATTCGAATAACCTGTTTCCATATGCCAATTGATCGCAAAGATTACATACCACATTTTGGTATGCTTGCTACACCCAGGTATACGATATCATAATCTTTTTATTTCATTGGGATATTTTTATTTTATTTTTAGCTACTCATGACCGCCATTTGGGCCTATCTCAATCGGATCAACAGCAACAGCTTCAGCAGAGTACATCCGCTCAGCATCATCACAACTTTTCAACCAGCAATTATTCCGTCCTTTATGATCAAAGCTCTCTTAACCTTCCCTTGCATACGACTTCTAATATTGACCATTACGCTCATCAGGCAGCTTTGACTCCAGCTAACTGTTATTCAAGCCATCTCAATTACTCTTCTCTCTCGCCTTCAATAGCTCCCAATATTTACTCTGATTCATTCGTCTCAAGTCCATTGTGCTCTTCCTTCCTTCGTCCTTTCGCTCAGATAGCCCCCTCTCTCGCTTCTTCTACCTTAGTCACGACTACTTCCATGCCTGTCAGCCAAGTC